TGAAAGCTTCCTCTGGTTTGGTTATTGGCAAAGCCGATCGGTCGCAGTTTTATTTTGGGGGCGATGCTGTCATGATTACCCAGAAATGGGAGCAGTATGATAGCTTTTGGCAGAACAGCGAGGGTGGAAACCGTAGATGTAAAAAAATCATTTCCTCAAAGCTCTTCCCGACATAAAAATTAGTCACAGAAAACTGTCAGTTTTACTCACATACGACCCAAAGTTTAACTCTCTCTTTTCTCTGCTCAGAAAATGCCAGTATAAATAGAATAAGCAACCAGAATCTCTAGTCTTGCGACTACGTGTAGTGCTTGGTGTCAACGCTGCTAACATCGGATGTTTTTGCTTTGACAACAGATGGAGATGCAACCATTTTCTTCTTATGTTTTACTCTTAGAGTTAGAGGATGCTGGGGGGAGGAATGTGCATGAGAATTTAGCTAGACCTAACAATACTATACCTAGTGTGAGAACCAAGGTTATTGAAATAAGAGATAAGAAATGGCCGGGCTGGAGGACTGGAGGGGAAGCCTGCATTTCAAGCTAATTGGAGAATGTGATTTATGACTGTTAATTGGAGGAGGGAACTGTGCTTTGATACTATGTGCTCTGGAGAGGGGAATTCAGTTTTTGGCTTTGACTGTTAGTGCCGATGCTATGCTACTCAAATAAAGATTCTTTAAGGTAAACAATGCCTCGAAGTTCTTTGAAGAGTTTCATTTGTTGGAACCATGACACTTGACTTACAACAGTTTGTTTAGTGACTGTTTATAGTTACAACGGCATTTTAAAAGTGATTTATGACCGTTTTTAACACTTGCATCTGTTGCAGCATCCCTATGGTTATGTGATCAAAATTCAGAATCTTGGCAACTGACTCATATTTATGACGGTTGCCGTTTCCCGGGGTCACGTGATTCCCCTTTTTTGCGACCTTCTGACAAGGAAAGTCAATAGGGAAGCCAGAATCACTTAACAACTGCAGTGCAGTAACAGCTCTGGCAAGAAAGGTCGTAAAATGGAGCAAAATGTCTCACTTAACAACACAAATTTTGGGCTCAACTTTGGTTGTAAGTCGAGGACTACCTGTACTTTAATGAAATAGCTCCTTCAGTTTTAACGTAGAGGCTGTAATATTTACCTCGTCTTAATTCGCCACCCTCTTGAACAATGGAACATTATTTTATTCTATAGTGAATTTACATTGCCTCCTAAAAACTTGTCAAGTGCTAAAATCTGCACAAAAAAAACCCCGGGATAGAAATTTTAATAAAATGAATATTTTTTCCCCTAATTTTGGCCTAACAGAGCAATGAGGTTTCAGCTTGCTTAATCTGTAAACATCCAATTTATGTATATGTTTTGGACTGAGATTCTGCCTCAAATCTAGAACCTTAATTTTATTTTATTTTATTATTTTAACTGTTTCCATTTTTTATATATATATACAACAGACTTGGGGGCATTCCTTTTCAGACAAAATAACATTAGGGTTAATGTTTACCTCCTATTTGGTGATGGTAAAAGAAATAGGTCGTGCCTATTTTATTACAGAAATTCTTTCATCCGTGCCGTCTTCTTCCGCATAATAAAGATATTCCTAGAGATTGTTCTGGAAAGTGAGATCTACTTAACACAGGGGTCCCCAACCCCCAGTCCATGGACCGGTCCCGGTCCGTGACATGCCAGCAACCGGTCCACACAAGCAAGCAAGCCCCATCCGTGAGATGCAGGCAGCACACAAAACCACGCACCCTCCGGTCCACGGAAAAACCTCTCTCCACGCAACCGGTCCCTGGTGCCCAAAAGGTTGGGGACCTCTACTTAACACACAAACTTGCATACCTCTACATACAGACCTAAGGCAATATAAATCAATTGCAGTAATTCACTTAACGGTGGCAAGAAAGGTCGTAAAACGGGGCAACAATTCACTTAACAACCGTCTTGGTTAGCAACAGAAATTTGGGGCTCCATTGCGATCGTAAGTCGAGGACTATGTGCATCTCTAATTAGAATCTAAATGATGTTGGTAGTCTTCCCACTTTTTGATGTGGTGGTAGATTTTTTTATTCATTTGTCATGGTTCCGACAGATGAAACTCTTCAAAGAACTTCGAGGTGTTGTTTACCTTAAAGAATCTTTATTTTGAGTAGCATAGCATCGGCACTTACACAGTCGAAGCCAAAACCTGGATTCCCCTCCCCTGAGCACATAGTATCAAAGCACAATTCCCTCCTCCAATTAACAGTCATAAATCACATTCCCCAATTAGCTTGAAATGCAGGCTTTCCCTCCAGTTCTCCAGCCCGGCCAATTCTTATCATCTCTTATTTCAATAACCTTGGTTCTCACACTAGGTCCAGTATTGTTATGTCTAGCTGGACTCTCATGCACATTCCTCTCCCCAGCATCATCTAACTCTTAAGAGTAAAACATAAGAAGAAAATGGTTGCATCTCCAACTGTTGTCAAAGCAAAAACATCCGATGTTAGCAGTGTTGACATTATTTTTTGTATTTCTGCTGATACAATGGCTGGAGCGTTTTAGCTGCCCGTTCTTGGCTTCAGGAACCCATTTCCACGATGAGCTGCTGAGGCAGCCCTGAAAACACTTCATATTTTTGCTTATTCTGTTCACGGGATTATTTCCGGTTGCTTTCAAAGAGCAGCGGTGGCTAGCCTAAATACGGTGGAAATCTCTCTTTATCTGTCCTTTTAAAAAGGGTTCTGTGGCCTTGCAGTGCTGTACATAATCTGGGAGATAAGTCACTTCTCTGTTTGTGTTATAGACCAAGCTGGTCTTGTCATTTTCAAAGCTGTCACCCATGCCACAATTTTCACGTTCTGCCAGCTTGAAACGGCATCTCTTCCTGAAACAAATTTGCTGCTTCCTTGAGCAATCGGTAGCCACCCCGCAGTTTGCCGTTTTTAAGAGCAGGCAGGAGAACACCGGGGGAATAATTACTTATTAGGGGACTAATTCTGGGCATAGGAAAAGAACAGAGGTAGGGTTACCCCCACTTCTCCGATTCAGCAAAGAAGTTAGCTTTGTCCTTTAACCGTGACTTTGCTGCAGTGATTCCATCTGTCACACCACAAGATGGTTTGAAAAGCAAGGCTAACCTTTTGGTTCCTCAGAGATCCCCCCTTTTTTTTTTTAACAGAGCCTCCTCTTTCCAAATATTTTTCAAAAGAAATTTGAAAACTTAAGAACAGGTACCGTATATTTGGCAGCGTTCAGCCAGTATAAATGATATATTTGATATTATTTTTTTTGGTACACATTTTTTTTATTATTACTAGTGTCTGATGGTTGTTAGCTTGTTTCTTCTTTTTCTTTATTTTGTATTTTAACTTTGGGGAAAAAAATTTAAAAAATAACATAGGACGTTGAATCACATTTTTTGAGTGAGTGGGATGTGTCTTAAATTGCAGCTTGCAATTGAAAAGGCAGGACGTAGGCCCATTGTGTATTTGTTTCATGTAAGCCCGTTGTGTATTTGTTTCTTGTGTTTGCTTTTTGTTTCCCCCCCCTCTCTCTCTCAGAGAGAAAAGACCAAGAAATATAAACTACAGGTAGTTCTCGACTTACGACCACAGTTGAGCCCAAAATTTATGTTGCTAAGTGAAACATTTAAGTGAGTTTTGCCCCGTTTTACGACCTTTCTTGTCACAGTTGTTAAAGGAATCACTGCAGTTGTTGAGTTAGTCACACGGTTATTAAGTGAATCTGGCTTCCCCATTGACTTTGCTTGTCAGACGGTCACAAAAGGTGATCCCATGACCTTGGGACACCACAACAGTCATAAATATGAATCAGTTGCCAAGCATCATAATTTTGATCACATGATCATGGGGATGCTGCAAAGGTCATCAGTGAAAAATGGCCATAAGGCACTTTTTTCAGTGCCATTGTAACTTTGGACAGTCACGAAATGAACTTTTGTAAGTTGAGGACTGCCTGTATTAGCTTTTTTTTTTAATGGAAATGAAAAATTCGATGTGATAAAACCAGACAGCTAAGGCTGTTTACTAGGTAACTGGTGAATTCGTTTCTGCTTCATAATACAAATAAATTTGTGATTGAGAGCCGCCCAAAGTTGGTTATCAGATGGGCAGCTAGATAAATGTTTAAAATAATTGTTAGTATTATTATAAATTTATTTTAGTAAATGTATTAATATTTGTTTATTTCATTCATGCTGAGACTGGCATTCCCTCCCAAGAAAGGACAATTTATTCACCCATTTATGAAACTTGAGTAGACCGCCGTGATAGTTCTTTTCTCCAGAGCCTTTAGCCCAGGGGTCTTCAAACTTGGCCCTTTTATGACTTGTGGACTTCAAGTGCCTGGCTGAGAAAGTGTCTGGCTGAGGAATTCTGGGAGTTGAAGTCCACCAGTCATCAAAGGGCCAAGTTTGAAGACCTCTGGTCTGGCTCTAAGCCCACAGTTTCATCAAAATGGCCAACTGAGGAATTCTGGGAGTTGAAGCGGTGAATGCTCCAACACTGGAAGTTTTTAAGAAGAGACCGGACATCCATTTGTCCGAAATGGTATAGGGTTTCCTGCCTGAGCAGGGGGTTGGACTAGATAACCTTCAAGGTCCCTTCCAACTTTACTATTATTATTATTATTATTAAGTCCACAAGTCATAAAAGGGCCAAGTCTGAAGATCCCTGCTTTAGCTTGTAACATCTGGCTCTAATAACAGCTTGCTCTAATTTAGTACTGTTGTTGTAAAACTGAGCCAATTGCCAAGCAGCTGAATTTTGATCCTGTGATCATGGAGACGCTGCAGTGGTCATAAGTGTGAAAACCGGTCATGAGTCGCTGTTTTCAGGGCTGCCATAACTTCGAACGGTCACTAAATGAATCATTGTAAGTCGAGGACTACCTGTACTTGCTATATTTTCTCACTCCTGATTTTCAGACACGATGAGGGCTCTACAGTTTAATCAGTTGCAAGTTTTTGAACAGTTTTGTTCTTTGTTTTCACAGTCTCATGGATTCAGAGATGTTCAGGATTCAGATTCGAATTTGATCCCGGCAGAAAACGAAGCGAATCCTTGTAAAAGGCCACGGACAGACCAGGTAGAAGAACAGTGAATCAGAAAAAAATAAAATTCAACTATGCTTCCTTTTAAAAAACTGTAGTACTACAGATGGATATCAAGGTACCCCGGAGAGTAACATGAATAAAAAGTGTGAATTCACAGAATGGTAATTTCCCTTTCATTGCTTCCTTATTGTGCCTTAATCTCCACTTTAGTGTTTTTTCAGATACAACTTCAGCATTTTTGTGCATCTACAGCAGGACGCTTCTTATGACATCGGCTTTCCTTATGGGGAAGAAATACGAAGTCTAATAAGTTCTGAATTATCTGCTTGCTGAGGAATAAAACCTGTTGCGAGAAACTTCTTCATGGAACCCAAAACTCAAGAGTACAGAATAACAAAATAAGAGTTGGAAGGGACTTTGGAGATCTTCTAGTGCAGTGATGGCACACCTTTTAGAGACTGAGTGCCAAAACTGCAACCCAAAACCCACTTACGCATCGTCGAGTGCCGGGGGTGTGTGGCCCATTGGGTGAGCGTGGCTGCGGTGGTAACAGCAGACTGGGTGGGACTAAAAAGTTCAATCAATCAACTTTGCAATATCTTTTTTTCCCGTGAGAAGTTGAAATTGACTGAACTTTTTTTTTTTGCACACGGCGGCAGAGGCTTAAAGTGAAAAGGTTTTATAAAACCCAGCTGAAGGCCTAGGACTGGGGCGACGGCGCGCGTGCCCACAGAGAGCGCTCTGAGTGCTGCCTCTGGCACCCATGCCATAGGTTCGCCACCACTGTTCTAGTGAGTAGTCCAACCGCCTGCTCAAGCAGGAGACCTTATACCATTTCAGACAAATGGCTGTCCAGTCTCTTCTTAAAAATCTCTATTGATGGAGCATCTACAACTTCTGGAGGGAAGCCGTTCCACTGATTAATTGTTCTCACTGTCAGGAAATTCCTCCTTAATTCCAGGTTGCTTCTCTCCTTGGTTAGTTTTCATCTGTTGCTTCTTGTCCTGCCTTCAGGTGCTTTGGAGAATAGCTTGACTCCCTCTTCTTTGGGGCAGCCCCTGAGATATTGGAACATTGCTATCATGTCCCCCCTCGTCCTTCTCTTCATTAAACTAGACATACCCAATTCCAGCAACCGTTCCTTATATGCTTTAGCCTCCAGTCCCCTGATCATCTTTGTTGCTCTTCTCTGCCCTCTTTCCGGAGTCTCAATATCTTTTTTTACATCATGGTGACCAAAACTGGATACTGTATTCCAAGTGTGGCCTTCCCAAGGCCTTGTAAAATGGTATTAACACTTCATGTCCCTCTGTACAGATAGTCCTCGGCTTAAAACCACAACCGAGACCAGAATTTCCATTGTTAACTAAAGCAGTTGTTAAGAGAATCACACAATCTTTTTTTGCTGTAGTTGTTAAGCAAACCATTCGCAGTTGTTAAGTTAATAACACGGTTCTTAAGTGAATCTTGCCTCCCCAATTGGCTTTGCTTGTTGGAAGCCAGTTGGGAAGGTGTAAATGGTGATCACATGATCCTGGATGCTGCAACCATCATAAATATATGTCAATTTGCAAGTCACCCTAATTTTTATCATGTAACTGTGGGGATGCTGCAACAGTTGTTAAATGCGAGTACAGGTAATTCTCCATTTATGACCCCAAGTAAGCCCAAAGTTTCTGCTGCTAAGTGAGACAGTTGTTAAGTGAATTTTGCCTCATTTTACCACCTTTCTTGCCACAGTTGTTAAGTGAATCACTGCGGCTGCTAAGTTAGTCACACGGTTGATGAGTGAATTTGGCATCCCCATTGAATTCGCTTGTCAGAAGGTCGCAAAAGGGGATCACATGACCCCGGGACACTGCAACCGTCATAAATAGGAGCCAGTTTCCAAGCATCCTAATTCTGAGCACGTGACCACAGGGATGCTGCAACTATCGTGTGTGAAAAAGGGTCATAAGTCACTTTTTTTGAGTGCTGTTTGTAACTTTGAATGGTCACTGAATGAACTGTTGTAAGTCGAGGACTACCTGCAGCAATAACAATAGCTCTTAGACTTATATACCGCTTCACAGGGCTTTACAGCCCTCTCTAAGCGGTTTATAGAGTCAGCCTATTGCCCCCAACAATCTGGGTCCTCATTTTACCGACTTTGGAAGGACGGAAGGCTGAATCAACTTTGAGCCGGTCAGGATCGAACTCCTGGCAGTGGACAGAATTAGCCTACAATACTGTATTTTGACCACTGCACCAAAATAGGAAGGAAAGGAAAGGAAAGTAGGAAGGAAGGAAGGGAGAAAAGGAGAGAAAGAAGGAGGGAAGGAAGAATAATAATAATAGCTCTTAGGCTTACATACCGCTTCACAGGGCTTTACAACCCTCTCTGAGCAGTTTACAGAGTCAGCCTGTTTTTCCCCAACAATCTGGGTCCTCGTTTTACCGACCTCGGAAGGATGGAAGGCCGAGTCAACTTTGAGCCGGTCAGGATCGAACTCCTGGCGGTGGACAGAATTAGCCTGCAATACTGCATTTGAACCAAGGCGCCACCGTGGCTCATGCTGCAATGACTAGCAGAAAGGCTTTTTTCTCTGACCACAGAAGTATTTCCCTAAGTTTCTACTGCTTCAGTTCTGTAAGAATGGGTGGCCCCAAAGCGGGGCAAATTTTTCTCACCCCTTAACCATCTTCTGTCCATCTTCTCGGTACTGCCAGCTGAAAATCTGTTTACTGTCACTTTGCTGAACTCTGAGGACTGAAATAAGGGTATGGTGACGTTGGTATAAATAGCCTGAACGTAAGTAAAGTTGAAAATTATGATCCTTCCAACATAGAGAAATTCTAGGGATTCTCGGTTTTTATTGGGTAGTCTCGAAGCAAGATGAGCAGCAAACAAATCTTAATAATAATAATAGTAGTAGTAGTAGTAGTAGTAATAATGATAAAGTTGGAAGGGACCTTGGAAGTCATCTAGTCCAACAACCTGCTGAGGCAGGAAACCCTATAGCAGTGGTTCTCAACCTTTTTAATGCCGCGACCCCAACCAGTTGTAAGTCGAGGACTAAACCGGTCGTAAGTCGAGGACTAAACTGGTCGTAAGTCGAGGACTAAACCGGTCGTAAGTCGAGGACTACCCAACCGGTCGTAAGTCGAGGACTTTCCCTGCCCGGGAGCGCCGTGCATGTGTGGTTCCGCCCCCTGCGCCGGCCGAGGCATAGCTGGCAAGCGGCAGAGATGGAGCAGGCCGACCACCAGCTGGCCCAGCCCAAGGGAGGTAAGGCACCCGCCGGAAAAGGGGGAAAAAATGGCGGACAAAAAAAATGGCGGACAGCCTTGCTTGGCGACCCCCATGAAATGGTCGATCGACCCCAAATGGGGTCCTGACCCACAGGTTGAGAACCACTGCCCTATACCATTTCGGACAAATGGCTGTCCAGTCTCTTCTTAAAAACTTCCAGTGTTGGAGCATTCACCGCTTCTGGAGGCAGGTTGTTCCACTGGTTAATTGTTCTAACTGTCAGGAAGTTTCTCCTTAGTTCTAGGTTGCTTCTCCTTGCTTAGTTTCCACCCGTTGCTTCTTTAATCTAATAAATTAAAATAAAATAAAGGCTGGAGAGGCAGAATGCAGACCTCACAGAACACAAACTGCTTTTGGAAGAAATCACATTTTGTTGAAAAAAGATCCCTTGGAAAATTTGGGTGAAGAAAGGGAGTTTTCGCCGCGGCTGTTTCACACTACACCTGACCTATTAATAGTGATTTGTGACATCACGAAATAGGCGGATTAAACTACGTGCCTCCAGCAATTCAGAGGGGGTGTGAAAAGAAGAAAATTGTGTGCCCCGGGGAACACCTACATTTTTTCACGTTGACGTTTTAAATTCAGGATCGCCTTTCGCTCCAGGATCCCGAGCATCAGCAACCCAAACTCTTTTCCTTTTCTTCCGAAGCCGATGGATCCAGCCTTTCCCCCACCACCACCACCAAGCGCTGTCAAAAAAGAAAATTAAAAATAAAATAAAATTCCAAGCCTGATCTGCATAATAAAATATTCAAGAGTTCCATTTCGGGAGCGAGACGTGATCCAATTTTGGAATCCGTGAGTCAGAAGGAGCTTTCCTTGCCAACGTGAAAAGCAAAGCGAGGGAGCGTGAAAGAAAAGCGAGGGGAGGAGGGGAGCTTGAGTGATGATTCAGACCAACGTTTTTGGTGCAGGAGACATGGACAAACAAAAGGGACCTCCTGTGAACAAGCAAATGCTTCATTTGGGAATAATAGTTGCTTATGTCTTAGCCATGCCAGTTTGGAGGGGGGGGGAAGTTTTGACATACAGAACACGCCTGCTTAGCTATATGGAGAAGGCAGTGCGTGTTGTGATGTCTTCCTTAAAAGAACCTCTTGTTACGGATTGACGCGGATTGGTGCTTCCTTGGCCGTGCTGCCAAGGAGTGAGAAATCTTTTCCCGATCATTCCAGATTATTTTCAGACGTCACGGCTTTGATTTGCAGTGTCTTTTGTCAAAGAGCGTCTATGGAGATTCTCCCATCGTCCAGGTCAGGGTGGTCCCAAAGGTGCTTTTTCAAAAAGCAACTGGACTTTTTTTGTTTTGTTTTTTTCTTTGAAGACCTTTCGCTTCTCATCCAAGAGGCTTCTTCTTCTTCTTCCCACCATCCGGTCGGAGCTGACGAAGCTTCTTGGATGAGAAGCGAAACGTCTTCAAAGAAAAACAAGAAAGTCCAGTTGCTTTGTGAAAAAAAAAAAAAGCATCTTTGGGACTTGTCAAAGAGGTTGTTGTTTTTTTCTTTCTTAAAAACAAAAAACGTTGAACGTATTACTCAGCTGATCAAGATTTTTAAGAAGAGGCTGGACAGTCACTTGTCTGAGATGGTATAGGGCTCTGTTCTGGGCCCAGGGCTCTTCAACATCTTCATCAACGATTTGGATGAAGGGATAGATGGGGAACTCATCAAATTTGCAGACGAGACCAAGCTGGCAGGAATAGCCAACTCTCCAGAAGACAGGCTTAGGATACAGGAGGATCTGGACAGACTTGAACACTGGGCGCTATCTAACAAAATGAAATTCAATGGTGAAAAAAAGGAAGGTTCTACATTTAGGCAAGAAAAACCAAATGCACAGGTATAGTATAGGGGGTATCTTGCTCAATAG